GCCAATGTCAAGTAAAAATAACTATGTACGGTAGTTTAGTATTATTATAAAATGGCGATTTCGCCAATGTTCTAATGTTTTGTTCGATAAATTTATTACAGATTGAGTTTGTGTTTGATCATTTGACAGTGACGTTGACGTTTCGTTACTTGTGCACTTCAGTTTAAGTTTATTAAATATAATTATAAAACTAAGAAATAGCGTGGTTTGTATTAATATTAGACATGGTAAATGACTTTACCATCTTAGTCAGCTATAACCTTGGGACCTGTAAATGGCCCGAAATGTTAGTTTGTTTGAAAAAACAAATAAACACTGTTTAGATCCGAAAAACTAGTTTCATTTCTTATGTGTAACAATCGCTAAAACGTTAGAGTCCTACATAATCATTTATAATATTTGTTAAGTGTTTTTTGGTCATTGTGCTTTAGATTCGGGTTTTACTTGAATTATTGCATGTAGAAATTGAATATATAATGCAGGAACTAAAGTAATAATGTAGTCATTTATATCTTCTCATTGTATACTGTACAATTTAATTTGTTTGTCATAAATTGTTCTAGTTTTGTATGTCAGTCGAGTTTATGTTTTAGAGTAAATTCTATTGAAATGCGGGAATATAATAATCTAGTATAATGAGGACAGATCGGAAAAGGTGGACCTAAACATCTAGTAATAAACATATTGTGAATATTACCGCCCTCTATACTTCATTCTTTTGACACGAAAAATGACGCGATAATATGTAATTATTAAAAAAAATATTCTGTTTAATGTTTGGAAGCTCTGTTTCTTTAAGTTTTTTAATAGTGCAAGTGTTTGAAACACATCTACGGTACACCTAGACTAGAATCAATTTAGAAATGGTCGTTTCCCCAATTGCATCTGCCGGGAATCGAACCAGGGACTTCTACCAGCGCCCACAGAGCAAACCATTGGGTCATCGAGGTTGCTAAATTTTTGTAATTCCTAATTTTCTTTTAAATGTAGTATAGCTACTATAAGGAGTACGTCCAGGGAAGCATTATCATCATACTTATTACTGACGCCACGACTTATGTGCTTTATTCTTTTAACCATAGTATAACTGTCTATCTACGCAATAGTCAAAAGTATTTTGTACAAAAAATAATATTTTTTTATAAAAATAAAACCTTAAAAGTAGCAGTAGAGCTCCTTGTCAAAGAGTTCGTTCAAGGAAGGACCTAATGCTCAAGTTACTGTGTTCTGATATTGAAAGGTAACGGTGCTAGTGAAATTAGGGGTACATAATCTCCCATGGTAACGGGCGTAGTGACATGCCCCTCAGTTCTATGTGATTTAAGGCTCTGAGTGGTACGTTGGTGGTGGCGTTGTACGCCAGGTGCACGATTTGTTTGACCCGTCACTTAAAAAAAAGCAGTTAAATACAGATAAAAAATATAGGAAAAATACAATATAATAATTGTAGGATTTCAGAGGGAGGTATAATCGACTCTGTATGTATTAGTCTTTGAAGTTTGTGTCTGTACTCTATACTCTGCCTATTACAGTTTCCGGTAATAAGTGGGTTTGTGTCGTTTTAATTTCCGTTCCGTTGTCGTAAAAATAAACTTGTTTGTAACTGACTTCAAAAAAGGAGAAGGTTCTCAATTCATCTGAATTTTTTGTGGGAATATTACGCGATTACTCAGACATATCTGGTACGATTTTGATGATTCTTTTCAAAACGGGTACCCCAGTTGTGGTCCCATTCAAGTTTGAAGAAATTATTCCACCTATAAGAATGGCAAATCAGGGGATCAATACGGCTTATTGAATTTTACCCCCTTTCCGTTAACCGGTTTCAATAAAAGTAGCACCGAGATGTGATTCCAATGAAAATAAAATTTTAAGGTGGTCATCTTATGTGGAGCTGATCAGATGATGGAAATAGCAGACAGGTGAGACGAACTCCAGTGAACAGCCTTGTGTACCCTGTGTTTGGGTTCATTATGATTCGTTTTGACGAGGACTTCTACATGCGTTTCAGTTACGTTATAGAGATCGCGGTATCGATCATAACGTTTTTTACGATACCGAGTGACGGGACGAACAAGTCGTGCGCCTGGTGATGAGCGACACGCCTATCCATAACAGTTGCAGTGCCACATCTTAAGGGTACTGCCACTGCGCCCGTCACCCTAGGACATAAAACGCCAAATATCATGTGCCTGTAATTGCACTTGAAACCCGTACTTTTCAATACCGGAACATAGCAGCGCGTGAGCATTACTGCTTAGCGGCAGAAATGGATAAGTAGCGCGATAGCAATTATATAGAATTATATAGATAGATTTGGTTTTCTTTTGACAGTTAGCGCGATACGAAATGTACGCAACATGTCACATTTGCGACGTTTTGTTTGTTGTTTAGTTTTAGTTTTACCGTTGACAATTAGCGCGATTGGCCCCAATGTGGCTGTACTGCCTTGGGCGAACTCTTTGAAAAGGAGATCAACTGATACCTTTAAGGTCTTATTTTTATAAAAAAAGTTATAGTGTAAAATACTCTCGACCATTACGTAGATAGACATAGGTTAGTCAAAAACCAACCGTCCGACTAAAGTACAAAGATAAATTCATTTGTTTCAACTTAAATTCTAGCGGCATTTTTTTCGACATCATTTTCTTCATGTCTTCCGACATTATACGAAAACAATGCGCATCAACAAACTTTGTTTGTTTATTTTTTTACGTATGTGCTTAAGACTGCCGACCCTAGATTGTAATAACAGTAATTTCCTTGACATACATAAAACAGTTTTGCCGAGAAAAATAATTTGTGTTTTCAACAGACAACATAAAATATATTTTGGTATTTATTGATTATTATAATGTTTTTATCATTATCAACCCATTTATACGCCCCGCTGCTGGACACGGGTCTCTTCTGAGGCGATGGTTTAAGCCACTGTCCGCCAAGCGGGCCTAATGCGAGTTGGGGGCTTCTCACGTTTTCTTCATCACTATGTTTTCAAAAGTTCATGGTAAATTTCAAATTGAAGTTCGCACTTAAATTCAGAGAAACTCAGAGGTGTCAGCCTGGATTCGAACCCACGGTATCTTTCTCTTTTTTTTTAGCTTGATAGGCAGTAGGTCAAACCATTCGACTACTTCGGCTTTTTTTTTTGATATTTTACTATCATAAAAATTTTAATAGCAGTATATATATAGAGTATATAGAGTAACTCATTGCGAAATAGTTTGTCCGGGGCAGTACTGCCACCTTACCTATTTCTGCCGCCAAACACTAATGTGAACATTACTGCGTTCCGGCTTTGAAGGGTAAGGGTGCTGGTGAAATCACAGTCACATGGGACTTGTCAAAATCTATCGCAGAGTGACGGACGCAATGACAGTGCCCCTAAGATCTTTGCAACTTAAAGCTCTGAGTGGCACCGCAACTTAATGGATAGGCGTGTAGCTTATCACCACGCGTACTACTTGTTACTTAATTAACTTGGTATTATAAAAAAAAAATATTAAGCTAGTTTTTGAAACTGTTCCACCAGTTTGTTATAATTATTAACACAAAGATCGAACACAAACAAAATTTCCTTCGATCTGACACCTGTCTACCCAGTTAGCTCTCAGTTGAATCGACTCAGAGACCTTGTAAATTTGTCTTAGTGATTCTTACAGATCCATTTTATTGGTTTTCTTCGGCTTTTATCGCAGTAAGCGACATTTGTGAGGGACCTACGACGCTTCTCACTGTCGTCTTAGTTTGGAAAATAGACGCAGATTTGAATCCTGTCAGATCGAAGGATTTTTTTTTAAAGTTCGAACAATCTTCAACAGAACATCACTAAAACCTATTCACGATCATAATTTTCACTTACAGTTACACTTTTATATTTATGTCCGCACATGCACTTACATTATTATTTTAGATTCATTACAAATAATTTCTAGATTCAGTCCTTCTGAAAACCAGCGCCTTAGGGAACTTAAGCATATGCTGAGTCAGCGCCATTTCACTGCTATGACAAAAAATGTTTCATTTTTCCCATTGTATTAAATCTGTATTTGTATCAAACTAGTGAATAAAGTCTTTACCTATATATATGCTATCTATCTTTATAGTAATAATTAATATACATAGTATAAAAATATACTTATTATATTTTTAATGAATAGAATAAATGGTATTATCAACATTCTTGATAATTTGTTAACACGTTTTTTTAAAGAATTTTCAAAAATGTTCAAAATATAACATTGGCTTATATGACTGTTTTTGATCTCATTTGTGTACTTATATAATTTTTTTCCCGATATTTCATTATTTGGCTCTAGTTTGGGATTATATTTAGTGCCGGGCGTTTTAACCCGGCGCGGCCTAAACGCAATAATTACTATGTTTAGGCCGCGCCACCGGTCGCACTGCCGAGCAGAGTATGTACACATAATATTCGATCGTTGTTTACCTAAAACTGACGTTCGTCTTTAATTTGAGATTGACATTTCACATTAACCATTTTTTTCGCTTAGTTTGTAACCTTTAAATCTAATTTGAAATTAAAGTAATTTTTTTCGATTCGAAATATATATATATATATATATATATGCTCTTTCCTCTTAGTCTAGAACAGTATGTATGCCATCAAAAATCCTAAAAACCAAGAGGCAACAGCAGTTCATCGGGGCCACGCCGGTCATGTTACATGGCTAGATACGTAGCGTTTGCCACCTGGCTGCGACGTGAACGAGTATCGCAAAGTTAGGTGCGCCGTGCTAGTCATTTTAACCCCCCACGGCCCCAATAGGTAGATGAGAGGCCGGTCATTTTGACAAACCACGGCGATGAACGTGTTCATATTTAAATTAGACAGCGGTCATTAATTGTTTAAAATTGTATTTGGGCTTTCTGTGTTGCAAAGTTTCAAATTTTAAATTTACATGAATATTGGTATCGCGTTTTATTTCAGTGTTTCAAAAAACTGGTCAGGCTTTTTATGGCGTTTTTCTTTGTTACAGTACATTATGCTTAGCCCAAGCAAGTTTAAATGCCAATCACGGAGTTGGCAACTATTCTTTCCCGGAGGACTTCATGTTTGGAGTATCTTCCGCCGCTTTTCAGATAGAAGGAGGCTGGAATGAAGGAGGTATAACTTTTTGGTTTGTTTTATTCCCTAAAAAGAATAAATAAGCAAGTAATATATAATAAAATAATATTATGCAGGAAAAGTGCCCTTTTAAGTTTTTCAGTTATGTTTATTAAATTAAATAACTTGAAGTCTTGCACTGGAATTCAAATTATTTTTTTCTTATCTAAATGTTGTTTATTTGTTTTTTCCAAATATTATTTTATATAAATTAAAACGTTTCGGGCCCTTTATAGGTCTCATAGTTACGACTGATTGACAGTTTAGATTCATTTACGATAAATAAATAAATATTACACAATTTATTGTTATTTAAATTAAGTGAGTAGCTAAATTCATACGAAGGACGTAATCACTGATTCGTCTACAACCTTGACGAGGTTACCATAGGTACTTAATCTATAGAACCTCAAATGTCTTTGGTTGATTCCGCTTATCAGTGAAGTGTTGAATCAATCAATTTCAATATACACTAATTCCTATCTGGCGTGAAAACACGATACTTAAAAATTTTCACGATGGAAAAAAGACACAAATTTACCTCGAAATTTTACAAGAAAACCGCTGTGTTCAGTAAGTACTTTACCTATACCAATGATTTTTTTTTTATATCAACTCAACTAAATAGAACACATATACTATACGATATACATTTTTCAAATGGCGTTAATTTTGTTTTTAAAATGTAACTTCTGAAGTACTGAGGTAGTACCGACTCGACTAAATCTTAAAGATTTAGTCTGAATAATAGTAACTAAATAAAAACGGAAAAAAAATTATCAATCAAGGAACATTAAGTTGATTTAAAAAAATGTTACATTATTTTATTTTTTATTAGACAAAATCAGTCAACATCACGTGCGTTGCTCTGATCCCAAAGTCAGTAACTAAAGCACTTGTGTTATGGAAATCGGAAACAACAACGGCACCACAAACACCCAGGCCCGAGACAATATAGAAAAGTTAGTTTGTCTACATTGAGCCAACCGGGGATTTAATCTAGTAACATTTCCCAGTGTCATAATGGGAATGTTTATATTTCTTATATGTAATAATATTGTTTTTATTTATGCATTTCAAATTCAAATTCAAAATAATCTTTATTTCATAGGTAAGCATTATTACACTTGAAATCGTCACAATATTAAACTTTACCGCTCATTCGTAAGGCAGATTCCCCTGAGAAGAATGAGCAAGAAACTCTAGGGGTTGCTCTTTGTAAATAACATTAAAATATTTTTTTTTTATTATTTGAAACATCAGAGATCGAGACTACCTCCATGAGCTAAACGGGTTACTACCACGGATTTTTGTCATCCAAGTACGCAGAAGTTTTTTTTTCTTTTATTTATTTCAGGCCACATGACCCATATAATATATACCTTAAGGACTAACGTACATACAATATAAATAAAATAAACAACTAATGTACTTGTCGGCGACGTATGTGTGGCGCAATCTGGTGTCAGGTAACTTCGGCCAAAACTCTTCCCTCGTGAAGACCGACAGATGTTCGGTTGGCATACTCACCATAAACGTATTAAAATTTACGTTGTGGCGGGACTCCAATCGCTCGACCCTCAGGGTGTATTTGAGTTTTAGCCTGATGCACTCCACTGTCTCCTCAGACTTCGTGGAGTAATGTAGTCGCAACAGGTACAGCAACGTCGTCGGTGTTTCTGAATACCGACGACGTTAATGTGCGGCACAATCAATTACCTGCTATCAAAGTAGGAAATTCCCTGCGTTACGAGTAGCAGATCAACAAAATTAAGTTATGGACGTTTCCTAAAACAGCCAAAGCAGAACTAATTTAAAAAAGATAATTTTCCAAATTGGTGGTATCTGGGCCAATGAGGACTAAAATTATATTTAATTTAGATATATTATGATTATTAAATGAATATATCGAGTTATTGGGCTTTCGCAATTATGCCACACTGGAAATGAAATTATTTTATTGGGTCTCGTTTCGAGCCTTTAGATTAACTTTTGTTTAAAAAAACAAATACGCGCCATATAGATCATATAAAATAGGTATAAAGGTGAGCCACATCCAACATTTTATCCCAAAAAACACACGCCTCCATACACAATGCTTTGCTGGTTTCTATATTGACGTTTGGTAGTAAGAATTGGGTATGGCAGAAGAAGCGTGAAAGTAGAATTAATGAAGTGGAGAGTGGAGAGTGGAGAGTTTGAGGAAAATTTGTGGAATAAAGTTGAGTGATAGAGTGAACTGCATAGTTCGTATTATTGCATAATTATACGGATAGATGTGGTTAGAAAGAGAATTTTGTGACTAGAATAGAGAAAGTAATGTTAAGATGGTTTGGGCAGTGGATGGATGTAAGAAGAATTACCAAACAGGTTTATGATGCGAATGTGGATGGACGCGTTTTAAGAGGACGTCAGAGAAGCACCTACGTTGACCAGATCAGTGATGTCCCCAAAAAGGCTGGGATCCAAAGTGACAAGAATAAAAGAAGTTGTATGAAAAGGGTAGTTGATGTATGTGAGACTCGAAAGTTGTGTCAAGATATAATAATTGTATTTTAATAGCATTTTATGCAATCGTAGTCGGGCTCTTAAAGTTAAGTACCGTGAGGTATGAGATTTTACATTACATTATGTAATGATTGCATACAATACTTTTCTACGAGTAAATTAAAGTAATGAAACACAACCAGTATTTAATGAATATTTTGTTAACAATTCGTGTTCGTAAATGGTCAAGTACCGCTTAGATATATTTCAACCAATTAAGAGGCAGCAGAGCGTTTTTAATAATTTCATCAGTAATGGGGATTGGGGACGTCATTCTGTTCAGGAACACAATGACACGTTTAAGGACTCTCTTAATTAGCAAAAATACGACGTTCTTTTTTTGAAACACATTGTAGTTCTTTAAATAGGACTATGGTGAAATTTCTCATTTCAGTAGTGAGTACCATAGACTATAGAATTTTAGTTTAGAAGTAAAAAGAGCGCGTTTGTGATTTATGATATTATAATTGACAGATTTTTTTTTATATAATATAAAGTGATGGGACGAACAAGTCGTGCGTCTGATGGTTTTTTATTTTTATTTTTTATTTTTTTTTTATTGCGACTCGGCAAAATGACTGCACCGCGCATGATGGAAAGTGCGAATACAGTCCAGAGATGAGAGTAACGGATGGAAAACACAAATATCTTCACTCCGTCACTATCATTTTGACATATCATGGTAAACTATCAGTCCATAACAGTGCAGTACCACTCAGTGCTTTAATTCGCAAAGATCTGAGGAGCACTGCTACTGCGCATGTCTCCCTGAGACACGTAAGTTGACAAGTCCCAAGTGCCTGTAATTTCACCCTTTCACCTTTACCCTTCTAAACCGGAACACAATGATGCTAACATTACTGCTTGGCGGCAGAAATAAATAAGGTGGCAGTACTTCCCTGGACGAACTCTTTCACAAAGAGCGCTACTGCTACTAAAATATTATAGGAATATAATAATAAAATATTGTAGAATAAATTATGATAATGGAAAAAATAAATTAAAAGCATTTGGATTCGTTCACTTATTCAATTATGAGTTAGTACTTAGACTTAAAGCTTTATAAGAATCTTAATATTTCTTCTATTTTCGATCTACAACCTTGATAGTCTAGTCCCTCTGTCGTAATACCTCTAACGATGATGATGTGCCTCGGCTCGATTCAATTTAGGAAATGAACTTTCAATATTGGTCTGGGTGTTCTCGGTTATTAATTCCCCTGAGCTAATTTTCGGTATTCCAGTATTGTGTTTTATGTGGTACCTACACTAGATTGCATGAAATGAATGAGTGAATGAAATATTTTTTAGTGCACATAAAATTAGAGTGGCAACACAGGACAATAATTAAGGTATAAGGATTCGCTCTGGATCTTTTGGAGGGAAAAGTTTCGTTTTTATTTTGACTTTCAATTATTTTGTGAAATCTAGTTTAAAGTGGAATAGGATAGTGCTATTGTGCCTTAATCGAAGATTAAAACGCGAAATTATACGAATCTCGAACTAGAATACCCGTATCGGCCCGTTTTAAGGAATCCCGAGTCAATCCAAGCACGCCGCCTCAAATTGCCTATCCTCTTTGTGGCGGCCATATTTACAGAAACATAATTAAACTTCATGTTTAGGCTGATGGCTTTGCCAAAGCCTTAATAAATAAATTTAAAAAAAAAATTAAGGTATAAAAACAGTAACTTAATGTGTAACAGACGGCCTTATTACTATATAGCAATTTCTTCAATGAAACTTTAGGATAAAAATTTGGGATAATATATCTATATCCGTTGTCATTATTATAAATGTCTTTGTCATAATTCTATAACTAAATTATGGAGTGTGTAAACCAAACGCACTTGTTACCATTGAGATGTTGCGGATGTTCATATTGAACTTAATTATTCAAGTTAAAATGAGTAGTGTAAATGGATGTAAACGTTTCTGCCTTGGTAGTGAATACAAACTTGTACATTAAGACTTTTACATAAATGAAGCAGAACTAGATCAAATTTTGATTAATAAGCTTGTTTATATGAACGTAAATTGGTTTTACGTCCATGTAAATTCCCGTATAAAGTATAAAGTACCCGGGATCGAACCACGATGACCGCTTTATTGACCGTTTTTATTTCCTATTAAAATGTTTTATTATCTGCGCCTGTTTTTGGTGAAGCTAAGTTCACAAAAAAAATGCCACTGCAAAGGCTACGATTACCATTTAAAACAAGCGCCAATTTATTTGTTAAATACTGGAAATTATTTATTTACTTTCAATTATTTATATATTTATTATATTACATATTGGTTACAGATTAATATTCAAACACAATAATAATTCTTAAGCTAATATTATAAATTGAAATAATAATGTAATCATATTTAAAAAAGAATTGATACAAAATAAATTGAATAAGAATTAGACAAATCATGGAATTGGATGTATCGCAAGTACATTATTAACAATCAAATTTTAAAACATTAACATACCCTAAAGGCACTTAGGAAGTGATTTTATATTCGGGGAACATAGCAAGAAAGTCTCATTGTTATAATTACGTAATAAGAATTAAAATTTCACCAATCCCCATGAGCCGTTTGCTTTGCCTTTTCAGGGGGCTACTCCCATTCTCCGTCCAACATCCGTCAGAAACATTTACTGTCAAATAAGTAAACTCGACCAAGTTAATGGACACACGACGCGAATGAAGCTTCATACTCTGCATTGTTTATAGATTTGGTCGCGTATTACTTATTTGATGGTAACTGTTTCAGAGAGATACCGGACGGAGAGCGGGACGCCCTATATTGAATTGCTTACTTGGATCATTTCAAGACAAGAATGAGTACTTGTTTTAGATAGACAAGCATACTCCACTCTCGGCCATATGTGTCACCTACCGAACTACCTAAGAATCCAAGGATCTTCCATTGCCTGTGCTATGGGCCTACCATAACCTTTCCAAAAACAATCTTATTTCAATGTAAGCTTAAAGTAAGCTTATTATAATATTACTCATATTCGTACTATGACGAATCTGTCAACTAAGTAATGTAATATTGCAAAAGTGAGTGAAAGATCGAATGATTTCTAATTAAAAAAGAAAAGAGAAAAATAGGAAAGAGATGACGCTATGTGAACTATATAATGCCATCTATTTCTTTTTTGATGTTCCGATTCGTCTTATCGTAGTATATATATATATATATGTTTAAGTACTTAATGTTATTTCAATTTTGACTGTTAAAAAAAGAAAAGTATGTAATAATAGAATCTGTTAAAATTACGTTGTTTTCAATAATTATTCCGTATTTTCATGAAGAAAAATAAATAAAACAAGCTGAGTCTTGGTAGTCACGTTGTGAATTCGGAACTATAGTCTAGTGTCAACTGTTAGTTTCGCCAAGGAGCATATAGATGGCGCTGTTATAATTTTACGACTCTTTACGACATCGCGTATTTTTATTTAACGAAAAATTATTTACTATGTGCTATTAACAAAAAAATAAACAAAATATTGAAGAGATATATGTAAATAAATAAGTTCAACTTAACTTTTAATCATTACAAATCAATATTAAGACTATAAAACTGAAAATAATGTTGTTTCCATTTCATCCGTGTAACTATTTTAAGATTGCTAAATTTGACATGTGAGCAATATTACTTTAATGTTAAAGTCGCGTCGTAGCATGAACTGAGTGAATGAATACTCACGAAGCTGCCAATAAAACATCATAGTTTTAACATTACAATAAGCTTACTTTAAGGGCGTTATGGTACGAAAAGTCAATGTAAGGTTAAAGTAATATTGTTTTAAAAGGTTGTAGTAGGCCCCCTGAACTTGTTTTCCCACTATGTACTCTCCGTAAGAAATATTTTAACTGTCACCTTGTCTAATCAATCTTTTGAAACGCAGGCTCTTTTACAGTTATGTGAATTTTTCTCTGAGCAAGTGAATATATATTTACAATTATTTACTATTTATTAATTTACTACGAATGGCAATCTCAAGATAGGAATAATATGTGTGTTAGGTCTTTATGAATAATTCAGGCTGGAGGATAATATCAACACCACGGTCAAAGATTCTGCCAATTTACTGAACTACATTATGTTTTATCTCGCGCAACTTACTCGCTTTATATTTACTTATTAATGTGTTGAAATAAATATGATTTTATTCGTTTGACCTACCGCCTCTCAAGCTTAAGGCTTCTGAGTTTCTCGGAATTTATGTGCGAAATTTAGGTTGAAATTTACTGGGCTATTCAGTGAAGAAAAACAAGGTAATGAGATCTGCACGTCAAAGAAGGTTCACAATCCTCGAAAAACATGTGCGTGGCGGACATGTTTTCAACATTGGGATGTTTAAATGGGTTAATGACGATTGTTACAAATGTTAAAAAAAGCTAATATAAAAAATATGTACTTTTTATATTATGCTTAATAATTGTGTGTTATTTTAAATAATAAATGCATAACATTTATATAGCTCGTGTGCTAACTCTAGATGAAAATTAAGTAAATAAAAATAAAATTTAATCTTGTTACAAGTACATTACTCTCCGTATAGCTTTGGCGTAGTCGCGTAAAACGACTTGTCCAAGGGCAATTACTTTCGCAGACATAAATTTATTGATCTGGGTTAGCAAATTCTTGCTATAACGAATAATAATTCAGTTTAATCGATTTTATACATTAATAATCGTTATTCAACTTTAAAACGCTGTATTTACGAATTAACCTGGTAACCGCGATTTCGTTTGCTAAGTACTTCTAATAGCCTACTGTACTATTACTAATTTTCATAGTTTTATTTGTTCTTCATACAAACCTTCATCCTCTATTTCACCTCCTTTAAGATTTATTTTTGTGACAAAAAGTAGCTCCAGGTCCCATCTAGTAGCAGTAGAGCTTGTTGTGAAAGAGTTTGTCCAGGAAAATACTGCCACCTTACCTATTTCTGCCGCCAGGCAGTAATGTGAGCATTACTGCGTTCCGGTTTTGAAGGGTATAAGAGTGCTGGTGAAATTACAGGCTCATGGACTTTTCAACATATGTCTCAGGGTGGCGGGCGCAGTGACAGCGCACGTCAGACCTTTGCGATTTAAAGCTTTGTGGCACTGCAACTGTTATGGACAGGTGTGTCGCCTACCAACAGGCGCATTGCAACTGTTATGGACAGGTGTGTCGCTTACCAACAGGCGCACGACTTGCTCGCCTCAGTACTTAATATCATAAAAATATCTATTTTTATAGCAAAATTCATCAAAAGCGGTTGAGTAGTTTAGCCGTGAAAATGTAACAGACAGACAGAGCGTTTTATAATATTCGTTTGGATAGTAGAATGTAGTTATTCAGCAAGAACAGTGCTTATTCTATTTTATAAATTAGATAATGATTTAAGTAATTGTCTATAATTTGTACACTTCATAGGTTGGTTAATTTTTGACAGGTAGAGGAGAAAGTATGTGGGACACATACCTCCACGAACATCCGAACTTCACAATTGATGGCACGAACGGTGACGTAGCAGCTGATTCCTACCACAGGTGGAAGGAGGACATTATTATGATTAAAACCCTTGGCGTAAAATACTATCGCATGTCGATATCTTGGCCGCGGTAGGTAAAAAATTCAATATAAGAATAACAATAATAACGCACACACTCAACATAGCCCCGCATTAAGGAAACGTTCTGTCACGGCTCCCATGGATACACACATAGACAACCACAAACTACACCCAAAATCACGAGAGAAATAAATGTAGGCCATACAAATATTTATTTCGACCCGGGAATCTAACCTGGGACCTCTGCCTGGTAGTCCGGCTATGATAACCGTACGGTCACGGAGACAGTGTTATATAATATATATAACATATATTTTTTATCAATTGTTAAATTTATTATTACCTCTGAGGACAAATCTGCCAGAGTCCGGATAGTTTTAATAAAATAATCAAAACATTATGGCCATCGTCACCAGTGTCAGTGAAAATAGATTCCGGTTAATGTACGTTATTTCGGAAATCAAAGACGAGTTGACCATTGAATGTCTATATAGGACGTCAGGCGAGATTTAAAAAGAACGAGTGACCTCTCACTCCATGAAAACTGCGATACTGGACTACTTCCAACAAAGAACACAATCGATAGCTTTCTCGATAATTTCGGATCAGCGGCCTTTGTCGAAAACATAATTCATCATATCTGGCTCGCACCACCGAAGAATCGTGTACCTGGCTAATATTTTTACGTAATTAATTTGGTCAATAGAAAGTACGGAACTTATTCACAACAAACATTTTGCATATTGTTCTGAATGCAGCTGTGTAATAAATAAAAAATGGACTATTTTGGTTTGGGTCGCTATTTTTAAAAAGCAGTCACAGTTCAGTTTCGAATATGGGTTCCTTAGGGAAACTTGTTCAAAACCTCGATATTAGCGTAAAATCATCCTAAGAATTTAAAAGTCGTATATTTTTCACTATTTTATTTCTCATTAAGAGATTAATATGAATATAACAGATGGGTAATAAGTAAGAATGACTTCATTCATTAACACGTTCATCGCCGTGGTGGGTCAAAATGACCGGCATCTCATCTGCCTATTGGGGCCGTGGGGGATTGAAATGGCACGACGCACCTAAATTTGTGATGCTCGTTCACGCCGCATGTGGCAAACGTATTTAGCCATATAACATGACCGGCGTTGCCCTGACCAACTGCTGTTGCCACTTAGTTTTTAGGATTTTTGATGGCATACATACTTTTCTCGACTAAGAGGAAAAAGTATGTATATTTCTAATAAAAAAAAAAATTACTTTAATTTCAAATTGGATTTAAAAGCCTACAAACTAAGCAAAAAAATGGGTAATGTGAAATGTTAATCTCGAATGAAAGACGTACGTCAGTTTTAGGTAAACATCGATCGAACATTACGTGTACATACTCTGCCTTGGTTAAAATGCCCGGCACTAAATATAATCCCAAAGTAGACCCAAATAATGAATATAGCGAAAAAAATTATATACGTATACAAATGAGACCAAAAACAGTCATATAAGCCAATGTCATATTTCGAACATTTTTGAAAATTCTAGTCGGCGACTAACGTGTTAAAATTGTCGCGTAAAATTAACGAGTGATGCCACATGGGCGCTGCGGCAGTACCGATGGGTTGCGTCATCGCACCTTTATGATTTCAACGCATCGAGTGCCACACGAGCAATGCGGTGCGCAACTTAACGCCCCTTACTTACACTCATTAGCAACCCTCCCCGCGCCCCTTGTCCGATGAGCACACGTCCCGTCTCTCGTGCTTATAATAATAATACTTATCATAATAATTTTGTAATTATTCTTATATGTTCGTCCAAGTAACACATGTTCCTGAAGTTGAAGTCAACAAGTATCCGGATACTTGCCGACTTCGCAACAAGTAAAGAAAACACTTAATTTCGTATGCCAAAAGTAACTTTTACTTTAACAGATTGTTACCAAAGGGTACCGACAACTACGTAAACGAAGAAGGAGTAAAATACTATCGTAAGTTGTTTCAAGGTTTGCAAAGGGCTAACATAACCATCATAGTGACACTATTCCATTGGGACTTACCCACGCCACTTATGGACCTTGGTGGATGGGCCAATCCAAAGATGGTGGATTACTTTGAGGATTATGCAAGAGTGGCTTTTAAAACCTTTGGAGATATAGTAAAAATATGGACAACTATCAACGAGCCGCACCAACATTGTTACAATGTAAGTTAATCCTACGTATATGTATATCCTACACTCTCTTTCCTTAATCATTATGATCCTCGATTAGTATTAATGTAGTTTTCTATTTGTTGAAGATCTAATGAAACATAATGTGTGCCAATTGATTAATCACATAAGTCCATTGCGTTAATGTGTTTATACACATATAAAATGTAGTACGTATCCTATCATGTATTCTATATAACTATAAATCATATTTATTTATAGATAAAATAGAATCAGCTACTTAAAAGTACTCAGAAATTGTTTAATACTCCGATTTGATTAGTACAGCTTTTTTGTATTTACTCAGTCCCAATCTATTTTAGAGTCCCAAAAGTTTCCGAAATTGTATTAATAATAATTTGATATATAATAAAAACTTTATGACTTTACATAAAGTAAATGAAATGTCACCGGGACACACTGGGGTACCCTGTTTTTGTGGAATCCACTTTAGTACCAATTTTTCAATCAATACTTTGGAACTTTGGCTGAGTCACTGCCCTAATACAGTTTTCTAATATACGTATTTCCGTCCCATAAACCTCAAATGTTCGTGTGACCGGTACATGCTAATGGATATTTTTGAAATGTAACATTCATTTTAAATAGTAAACTAAGATGTTTAAACTTGAAGAAATAAAAAAATTAAAATTCACCAAGTCATTGAGGGTGATACCCTAGGATGTAATGCCCAGGAAGCTGGTAACGTTTTGGATAACAAAGTTTGTATTTTGGCGGAAGTGGCTGCCAGCTTTCTGGTCACCGGGGAAACATTGATGGAGGGAAATAGTTAATCAAAATCGATGATATTAATTAGGTAATACTATTCCATTAGTTTTAAACAAAGTTTGCATACGTATACCTCTTTGTAATAACTTAGAATTGTAATTGCCACAGTCCACTAGCCGCTTTTTGTTAACTTTTTTATTTGCTTAAGACTACTTTATTATAGTGTAGTATAATATAGTATAATAATATGGATGGTATAGTAAATATAGTAATTTTAGTAACAGTAGAGCTCCCTGTGAAAGAGTTATCCAGGGTAGTACTGCCACCTTACGTATTTATGCCACCAAGTACTAATGTCAGCATTACTGTGTTCCGGTTTTGAAGGGTAAGGGCGCGTTCAAATTAGCCTAAAGGTGTTGGTAACATAACAGGCACGTGGGACTTGTCAACATACGTCTCAGGGTGACGGGCGCATTGGCAGTGCCCGTTACTGTAGTTTACTGTTCGTCCCGTCACTTTTTATCAGAAAAAAAAAACTTTATGATAGTAAGATTTATGTAATGTGGATGTAGACGACATACAGCATTAACTCAAACCTTAGTGGGTTTTTAAATGTTGTAATAATTGTTTGTTATGTACCTATATTGAAAAAAATCTTCTTAATTAGTGAATACCTTGATCACAAAATATACAAGTAATAATTCGTATTTTAAATTTTAATCAGCCTTGTTTGCAAGTTGAATAGTGGAAGTGAGTAGTGATAAATACCAAGATAAGTAAATTAGTGTGTTCACTAATTTATTTATCTTGTGGTAATACAATAGTATTAACTTAACTTGTTAGTCTGGAATATCAGGCTAACAAGTCTGTATAAACAGTATTGTCGTAATACACACACTATTATCGTACTATAACAAGACAAATAGTGCTGTAACTCCACACAAACGCAGCATCGCGTGGCTTAATTATAAGTGTGCCTGCCGCCGCGCTTCGTGTTCAAACGCACACATTCGCATAATCTCGCGGTAAACTCGCTTTGCAAATCGCGGTTCGTCACACGCACCATTCTTCATATAATTGGATCGTTCCCTTGGTGTTGAATAAAAAATTACATCAAATAGTAGACGTGTTTATTGTTGTGTTATGGTTATTGGAACAAGAGTGCCTCAAATTCAGAATTATTCACTAGTTTATTTCTACTTCATAATCAAACTATATACTCCCATAATCGAGATACTAATCCGTAATGTTATGTATAATACTATCAATAAGTACCGAATCAAAGGTTATTTCAATATAGCACGAGAAAACTGTAGTGAACACCTTATTTTTTCTAATTATATTTACAACCAGTAGGTACAGTCCCATATCATTCCATATGAGTTTTATTTATAGTGCCCCTCCTTATCAACCTCTTGGTTACGCAGGAAGGGCACTATGACCTGTGCGCGCATAGGAACCTTACAAGTTCAAGTTTTGACTCCAGGTCAGCCACTGTACAGGGTTCTCACAGACCTCTGTCACTTGACGTCATCCGGTTCTTCGAGAGGCTAGTACCTCGATTGAGCCGCCCCGGGTGCACGTACAGTACCCTCCCTATTTTTCAGATAGGTACCGGAGCTGTAGGCACGCTCACTGCCCGTTGCGCATTGCACAACTAGCAGTTGCCACCGCTAAGCCGTCGACTCTGAGTCCACTACCAAATCTCATTAGTGGCGGAGCTGTAAGGCACGCTCACTTCCCGACGCCGAAAAACGACGTCTCTCCAGTTCCCAATCCCAAAACCAACAGGTTAATAAGGAGGGGCACTATAAACAAAACTTATGCAGAATATGGGACTGTACATACCTATTCTCCAGTGTAGTAAACAGGGACCTTCACTTGCTGCAATCCTATCCTGTGCCTGTTCACACTCCTCTCCTCGTATCGTCTGTTTTTGTTTTAATAATACTTATACAGACTAGTTATTTTTTTATGACGCAGGGCTATGGAAGTAATTGGTTTGTGCCAGCGTTACTGTCGCATGGTGTTGGAGAATATTTGTGTGCCCATTACATGCTACTGGGTCATGCTCGAGTTTATCATTTGTATGATAAGGAGTTCCGGCCACATCAGAAAGGTTTGATGAATTTTATAGGTTCATGAGAGAATCTCATTTGTTTAGTTCGAAATGAGGGGAAGGAAAATGTGTTATTTTATTTGTTGCAGCGTTTATATACAGTAACATATGTTGCACTTTTCGGAAAGAAAAAACTTATAAACTTATAGTTAGGTTTATAGTTATTACGAAAAAATGAAACCGAGTTTAGTTTAATTCGTTTTTCTCATTACTCGTTTGAATGTTTGTTTTAAATAAACTGTCTTTAACTACACGAGTACGTTCTCAAATTATAGGTTTTTTTTTTTGTTCAAGTAGATAGCTCAAATTTTTACTCACTAATGTTTGTAAATGATATTTCAGGTAAAATTGGTATTACTGTGGATGCTTTTTGGGCGGAACCGAAAGATAGCACAAAAGCTGCTGACAGGGACGCAGCTGAAAGGTATCTCCAAATGCATGTAAGTTACGTTATGATATCGATTATATTTTACACAAAGTTTTTTGATTTGTTTAATTTTAAATTCTGAAACTGATGAATATTCGTCGTTTTCAAGATAATGATCACATTCGCTAGCCACTCAAATGACCATAATTTTAATTGAATTATTATAACAGATAGTTTATAAGATTACATTCTTAGTAACGTAATTGTGATTTCTGATTGGATACTGATAGTTACACGTTAAAGCGGTTTCCCGTGGTCCGTAATTTTACCGATAAACTCGCCCGTGCTCGCCATCGTATCGAGATTCGTACATCAATGTACGAAGTCCGGGCGACTTGCGATAGAGTGCCTTTCTGTAATTGGCAAATATTAACATGAAAAGAGTGATTCGGGTGTAGCTATCCAAGGTTACTTCTACTACAGGTCTACGGCTGTGCGAGGAAATCTGTAAAATCATAGATCGAAATTAGCCGCCTTAACTGACATAATAGCGGTGATACCTCCTATATCTTTTTGTACATTATACTTAACTCTCTTTTTTTATAGCTGGGAATCTATGCTCATCCAATATTCAGTGATAATGGAGACTATCCGCCTATAGTGCGTGAAATAATAGACGACATGAGCAACGCCCAAGGGTTTACTAGATCTCGTCTACCTTATTTTACACTTGAAGAGGTCAGTGCTAATTCAATTCATAATTATTTTCACGATTTCGTAATAGAAACATTTTTGTTGTTTGCATTATGATGTTCCCGGAAATTCCTAATTGGATCTATTTAGAAAACGATCTTTATAGTTAAAGGCGTTGTGTGATGTAGCTGTCTGTGTTAATAACGTCAGGGGTTTGGTGTTGTGCAATAAAAACGTTGTTCAATATTATTATAAACTATCAACTAATGCGATGGAAACAAGATAATGAAGTTTAAAGTAATAAGAATTACACGTGTAAGAACGTGTTAGAAAAATTAAGAGTTTTTTTCTATATAAATGTATGTAGAGACAGACTGATATTAGATGTTAATAAATATTCAACAAAATGTAAATGCAAAAAGAATCTTTAATTACTAACTTATAACTAATCACTTGGAAATCTTGGAATTGGTATGTGTTATATAATTAGATAAAGTGTGCTTTGTACGTGTTAGGCAAAGAATGTGTAATCTGGTATATTAAGTAATCTGCGCTAAGGACGAGCGGGGCTTCTTGATAAAATTATGTTAATGTATTAATAGGTTGGTATTCTATGGGTTAATCTTAATCAACTACACGGTATTACCAACTATACCAATAATATAGATTTTAAGACTTTCGTGGTTATTCACTAAATGATTATCACTAGTATCAGGTTTCTTACAAATATTGGGAAAAT